AAGAAATCATACTTTGATCAAGCAAATTAATATATAATCAAAAAGTTCAAGATTTCTATTCCTAATATATTGTATACAGACTTTATAGCCACAAATTCTAATACTCAACAACAACTATTACAATAACAAAAACAACAAGTACAACAAGAAGAACAGCAACAATCGATCAGCTCTACTACAAAATCTAAAACTTCTAAAACTAATAAACAGCAACAACATCATTTTAACAAATCTACTATGAAATTTACAATCTCTAATATTGATGAAAGCCTCTTTCTAATTTAAAATTTACTTTACATTTTATATATTAACACTTTAACTACATACCCATATATACTCTTTTATCTTTCATATACTTTATAACTTCATATACTAAATACAGCCTAGTATTTCTCTTTATACTCTATAACTTTATTCTATTAAATATACAAATCTTATAACTTAGCTTTACTTTTAAATTTATTTAATTAAATACTCTATTTACTCTATATTTTTTTTTTTTTTTTTAAAAAAAAAATCTAGATGAGTCTTTGACCACTCTAGTAGATTTAGATTACAGATAAAATAGTCTGAGCTTTTATTCTTGCATGTAGTTTTTACTTTTTATATTTTATATATTAAGATTAGCAACTTTTTGTAGTTACTATAATGAAAACTATTAATAAAGATATGAGCAAAGCTTCATTTTAATACCAAAAAAAAAAAAAAACCAAATCAACTTCACTTATGCACAGAAGTCTGCTTACCAGTTGGTCAGACCAGAAAAAAAATTAATACTTGGTCTATTTATTGATAGTATCTTTTTAAATTATATTTTAACTATAGTAATCTAGATGAGTCTTTGACTACTCTAGTAGGTTTAGATTGCAGATAAATTTTTCTCTATTTGAGCATTAGGAAAGTAATATTTATTAGCTGAATATATTCTCTATCTCAAAATATATTAATTAACTGTTTTGGGGTTTCAAAGTTAGTTATTTAAAAATTTTAAATTTTAATATAATTTAAAATATAAATTTATAAATATTGTATTTTTATATATCTCTTGCATATTTGTATATACTTCTTAAATATTTATATATAATTATATATAATTATGCATAATTATACATAAATATGCAAAGATGTATAAAATATGCAAGAGATATATACAAATATGCAAGAGTATATAAAAATACAATATTTATAAATTTATATTTTAGATTATATTAAAATTTAAAATTTTAAATAACTAACTTTGGAACTCTAGAATAGTTAATTAATATATTCTGGGGTAGGAGGTATATTTAGTTAATAAATATCACTTCTCTTATTCTTGCATGTAATTTTTATTTTTATTTGTACTGGTACAAATAGTAGTAGCTTTGTAAATTTCTATATTTAGTAGTTAATAGTTAGCCCTGACTACAAGTAAAAACCTCAGTAACTGCACTATAGTAATCTATATTGTTACTATTTAAAAATATTACTAATAAAAATATAAGCAAGGCCTCATCTTAAAACTAAAAAAAAATTTATATAGTCTGTATGAATTTTATTTAAAGAAAATCGACTATATAAAGTATTTATTTTAATATTTTTATATATATTTTTTTAATATATCTAAATATATTATAAAATTTTTATATTTTTACTAACTTTATTATAATAATATATAATTTTATTAGTTATATTTAGATATATCAAAAAAGTAGATACAAAAATATCAAAAATAAATATTTTATATTATAATTCTTTATAACAATTATTTGTATTAACTATTACCAAAAGCAAGTTAAAAACTCAAAGCTAAAAGTTAAAGTTTTCTTGATACAAACTGTTGTCAACAAAGTTTTTAATATAATATATTAAAAAATAGATATTTGCAAAGAAATCAAGTATTGTTTTTTTTATTTTTTCAAGTAGACTCTTTTTTGTATTCAATATTCAAACTAGAGTTTTTGAAAATAGCTAGTAAAAAAGAAAGCTCAAGAAGTTTAAAAATAAAAGAATACAATAAACTTTTAGAAAAACTTTTTTTAATTAAAAACTTACAAAATCACAACTTTTTTTGTTATTTTAATCTTCTCAAAACTAATTTTTAACAAAAAGAAAGAGATTTGGTTATTCTTTGTTAAAAGATTAATATTGTTTACTATTTTATATTTGGTAATTTTGTAATATGACCACAACAAATATATAATATGAGAATTTTTTTCTATTTGAAAATATTATTATATATGATTAATAATTAAATAGCTATATTTATATCCTATTAGATAAATAAAGATAGTGAAAATTAACAATTTTTATATTTTAAAATAGAATATAGATTTAAAATTAAGGTAATAAAAAGAATTTAAGATATATAGTCTAACAATAAAAGTCATATATATATAATTTTTATATACTAAAATGCAATTAATTTAGTTTTTTTTCTTATATCAGCTGAGTTTTATGTAATTACTATAATCATATAGATAAAAGATGTGACAAAATCAGATGATTTTTTAGAAAAAAGAAAATAAAAAAATTTAAAATTATATATTAGAATCTAATTTTTTATATATTAAAAGTGAAAGAGAATAACTTTTGATAAAAAATAATCAGGTGATAAATAATACTGTTCTAAATATTCTGGTTAGTAAATATCAATTTGTTAGATAGATTTTTTAGTTTTATATTTATACTTTAGATTTCTTATATTAGTTTAGTTATTTTTATTATTTTGTTTTGAAATATTTTTTTTTTATATTTTTCCTTACTCTATTTTACTTTTTATAATTTTTACTAAAGAATGGTTATTAGATTGGTATTATATTATATAAGACAGTGATTCTGATAAGGTTAGTAGATACCTACTATAGACTCTTGAGGTTTAAATCCTTAATAAATTAAGGATTTCAAATAAGATAAACATAAACTACTTAGGTGAGTTGCATCTGGATCCTCTTTAACAGAATCTAATTATAGATTTTGTTTAAATAATTGAGTAATTCTTTATTAGTATAGACATAAATAAATTATAAAATAGATTAGTCTCTATTTGTATATTGTATACTTGTTATATTCTATATTAATTTAAATCATAAAGAAAGAATCACTAAAGCAAAAAAAATAAATTATAATAAAACTAGATAATTTCTGTATTGTAAATTAGTAAAATCACTATATATATAGATTATGTTAGAATGTAATTTGTATTTAGCTGTTTTTTATTATACAATAGTAGATTTTACTCTCATATGATCTACGTAACAGGTTTTACTAGGTAATTTACAATACAGGTTTTATCCTTTTATATTATAATTAACTAGGTTTTCTAATATAAAAATAAATGATCTCAAATTACAAACAAGGTTAAGAAACTTTTTGGAATAAAGCTTAAATACTCTGATTTTACAATATTTTTAAACATATATTTTAATATACTATGACTGAAAGTTTAACTATTGAGTTTGACCTATGTGATTATTAGCCCGGGCCATAACCTGGGTTGAGAAAATTTGAGTTTGATCTAGATAAGAGCTCTAGATGTTTTGCAAATCAGTATAATATAGTTTTATTGGCCTATACGCATACCCGACTATAAACCATTTGTCTAGATTATCTCTTATATAATTTCTAATTTTTTAAAACTGGAAGCGACGGGTTGCATACTAGTAATAATTAAAATTATGTAATGAATCAAATATAACAGTATTAAATAAAATAATTGTAATAATAAGATTAGAATTTAACAAAGAAAAAGATGATGTTGATATTTTTTCGTTTTTTTCTTTGATTTTATATTATAAATACTAAATAATAAAAGGTTATATATAAAAAGTAGTAAGTTAATTTAAATAAGATAGAATGGCTTAGGTTCATTGATAGTAAAGAATTTTGTGCCTCACAAATATTTTATTAATAAAAACCTCTAAAAATTAACCCAAACTAAAACTCTCTTTATATCTTGTCCAGTATCTCTGTAATGCTACTCGATAGTTACCTGCCAAATCGTATTGCCTTATTCTAACTGTCAAGTAACGTTACGCGGCGCCTTTGACTTTGAAGCGACAATTCGTCACATTTCTTCTGTTGTGGGTGTGTGTGTTTTTGTCAATATCCCCTCTGACACTAGGTAAATGGTGACCATTTAAGTCCGAAGGACTGATTGAAACAATGAACACAGATCATGGATCAGTTCAACCAGCCAATCAAAATCCATAATTTGCGGACACAAAATTCTACGCCGACTCTACCGTAATGTTCTTCTGACAATTATTTTTATAATCCGATAAAATTTTCTATAAATTTATCTTTTAGTATCAATTATTATGCATAGGTTTAGTAATTTCATAAACTTTCCGTAAATATGCTACATTTATTATGGAAAAATTAAACTTGATCTGTTTTTACAGGATCCATCGTGTTCGTCACATGATCAATTTTCAATTACCGTACCAAAATAAGTAAAGAAACTCGAATGGCTGACTTCGATACGCGGTGAAACTAAAATATGATTATCAAATAACATATGTTAAATGGTCGTACATACGTACGTACATTACTGTATGTAGACCTTGTAGTGATACCATGCAGCGCAACAAATAGAATACTTTAAGCAGGTTAGTTTATAAATATATCTATATATTATATATAACTAGGTGTGGATTGAGTTTCTGTAGGAGTTTTCATTTTTTTTCTTATTATTATATATTATAGATTATACCATTTGTAATTTCGAGGTTTTGTTTTTCTTTTTTTTTTTTTTTAACGTTGTATTACGAAACAATTTGGCGAAAGGGATTATAATAAGATTTTATCAGGTTCGATATTTCGGTCCTTTGTTTTCTTTATTTAAATGATCATAAACTTTGATTTTAAAAGAAATATTAATCATTATTTCTAATTTATTTAATATGTTTATTCAAAAAAGTTAAATTATATATATATAGCTTTTAATAATAATTTTATCTATCGCTATCGGATATAATAATTAGTTATTTGGTTAGCGTAAATATTTTTTCAGAATGACGATGACACAGCAACAAGAAATTCATCCAACCATTTACATCACTCCCATGTCGGCTGCGCCACCTCAGGATATGAAACAACCAGCTGTCGTTAAGCATTTAGTTCCTCATCCATTAACCGCAGACTGTATTGAAGAAGTGTTGAATCATCTTTTAGACAGTAGCGGAACTTTATATTCTTGTGCTTTGGTCAATCGTCTTTGGAGTAAAATCGCCATTCCTTTATTATGGTATCATCCATTTGGAAATAAATTGCATGGTAGAAAAGCTCAAATCATATTTGAAACATATATTTCTTGTTTTCCTGATGATAAGAAAAATATTTTATCCATGAAAAAAATATATTTCCAAACATCAAAACCATTATTCAATTATCCAAAATATTTACGCGGATTTGACTGGAGCAATTTCCAATTTGCAATAATAGAATGGTTTAGTACCATGCCCCAGCATCATGATCTAATTTCAACGTTACAATCTAGTAAATTTTTTATTGCAAATTATCTTATTAGTAGATGTAGTGGCTTGAGAGTTCTAAGGATCGACCTTGACGATTCAACTGAAGATAATAAATTATTGGATTTAGCATCACTTCCTAATTTTCGGTTCATATTTAAAAAACTTGAAAAACTTGAGATTCAATATGATATATGTTGCGATAATTGGAGGCACAGCATAGATATGATTTCATTATTTGCAACTAAATTATCTATATGTTCTAGAAATATTCAGCATATTTCTATTGCTGATAAAAACTTTAGAGATATTTCTTCACGGCTTTCTCCATATGTTTGTGAGGCATTTTGGCAATTGATCAAGGTTCAAACGAATCTTATTACTCTTGAAGTCCATGAATTTTGGCATCCTGAAAGATCTGAGTTATTTTATAAAGCTCTTGAATCTCAAGCTCGTTCATTGAAGCACTTAAACATCTCACATATTTCACAATTTCATCTTTTACTTCCAACATTAACAAGTTGTACTAATCTGGAAACTTTAGAATTTCAAACCGTACCCGATACAAATATGGAAACATTGATATATACAAAAGACTCGACATCTCAATTATCAATTAAAAAACTTTTATGTTATGATATCAAAGGGGATCCAAAAATTCATAGACTCACTTTAGGGATCATTATTTTTATGACAAATCAACATTTAAGAGAACTTTACCTTCCAATTGAAATTAGACCCGAATTATTAGATGTGATTTGTCAATATTGTCCAAATCTTGTAACTTTACATCTTGTTTTGACAACACCGCTTCTTTTAAAAATTCTTCCTTACATTTCCACTTTGCCATTGAAATCTTTGGCGCTATTTGACAAAGATAAATTATCATTTTCGATAGAATTAATACAACAAGTGGCTCAATCATTTCCTTCTACGTTATGCAATTTGGAAATTAATTTTCTTATGACATCGCAAGGGCTACAATATTTTTTGGGAAATTGTAAAGGATCATTGAAGAAGTTGGTAATTCATAATAAAACTATGAATGATCAATATTTGGCGGTAGTGACCCGTTATGCAAGAGTTAAAAGAAGTTTGAAAAAGTTTAAGTATGATGGGAAGTTTTCTGAAGAAATGTTAGATAATGCTAGAGTTTGGATTCCGAAGATTGAGAACATTTAATAGCGATGCCCATTCTAAGTATTATTAAGCATTTATATGTTATTTAAGTATTTAGATATTTTTTTTTTTCATCTAAATTTTAAACCTATGCGCCTCAAGTAATTAGTTTTAAATTAAGCATTTTTTATAATAAGTATATATTTAAAATTTATATAATCCCTTTAATATGGTTCAGAGTTTATGTATAGGTAAAACCATGATTTTTGTCTTATGTAGTTTTTTTTTTTTTGCATGCTCTGCCGTATGAAATTAAGTATTCTTTTTTTATAATAAAAAAAGAACGGTTTGGTTGATTTTGAAATGAATCAGTGGGGTTATCGTTATTATGGGCGTGTGCAATATTCCTTTTGGGTTAATAATCACATGTATAGTTACTAAGTATGCCAATAGTTATTTATACTAGATAAGCCGATCAAAATACGGTGATAATATTTACAGTCTTACATCTTTCATCTTTCTCTTGAAAGCTGCTTTTACTGATTAAAGCTTTGACAATATCCTTTTTTTTAAAAAAAAAAGTTTGGTAAATGCGAAGAACTTATCCGTCTCTAACGGGAATATTTAAGCGGACAAAGCTATGAGCAGTACATTGTTAAAAACCAATCGTACATAAAAGATTTCTCGCCTTTTTCTTTTTATACAGAAATTTAGAAAAAAAGTGCTCTTTAGTTTACGTGGAAGAATTCGTGCTATTTTCCAGGAAAGCATATTGCAATATCGATATTACCGTCAGAAACACAGAATTGAGGTTTGTGAACTACATAATTATACGTATGTTTATATTATTTGTTGCATTACTGTTAGTAGGTTCGCTCAGGAAGCTATTATTTTCTCTTATTGCAAATTAATGTATACTTTTACTGTTCCATCTTTCGTTTTTTTTTTATTACCGCAAACAGGTAAACGAAAGAATTTAAAATGTATGTTATTAATAAGGTTTAGAATATGTATTTAAGGATAATTTATCATAGAGCTTACCAGAAATGATAAATGACTTAGTCATTTAATTAAAATTAATTGACCTCACTTCAGGGGTATCAGGTTATTTGGATCAAGGTCATTTAGCCATTGCATACAGTACCCCAATGATGGTTTTTGGATTTGTCAATTGACTTTGGACAGTTTTGGACTAGTCCAAATCAGTTTTGGACTGTCCAAATTTCGTTTTTATGATTGTCCAATCAGATTGTATAATTTAAATCATGCGATGATACGTACGTATATGCCACTTGTCCAAAATGTCCAAAAATAAATGTTGGCTTTTGGCAAAGGTTTTGGAAATTTTGTCCAATTGCCAAAACTTGTTTATTTGCCCAAATACCATCATTGTTCAGTACTCGAGGCCTTATTCAAAAACTTCAGTTTTAGTACCGGGTATTATTCACGAATCCGATGATCTCATTGGTTGAAACGGGAGTACTTTATGTGGTGGATATGATTTTCTGGAAATACTGTATGCAATGTCCAATAGTAAAAATTTATCAAACGCCTAGAAAAACTATTCAAGTTACACCTGCTCCTCGATGTTTCATATCTTTCAAGCTTTATTGATAACAACCTACTTAGAGATAAGACCAGTTTTCAAAATAAATCTTCTGGTTTGGATACTAAATATCTCAGAGAGTTTATCAAAAAAACAAATATTTAATTTTGAGAAAAACTACCTAAGTTATATCTGTTTCTTAGTATTTTCTATCTTCAGACTTTGTTGACAACTGTTTATACAAAGTTAAAACTGAGAATAGTATTTGTTTTGGATTTTTTTATAGTATTTTTCTGTAGTTTGATTTTGTTATATTAATTAAAAAATCATTAAAAAGAGTTGATTTTGCTAATCTAATAATTTTAATTATAATATTAGTATATATTTAAAAATATTACTAGTTATATTTATAAATTTTTAATTAATTATTTAAATAGTTTGTATATAAATTTTATTTTACAAAATTTTTTTGACAAACTAGTTTTTTTGGAGCTAAGACTTTTATTCAAGTTCTAAATGAGAAGGTTTGCAATAAAATCTTTTATATTAAAAAGTATATACTAGCTATACATATATTTTAGTATTTATTTTAAGTAGTTTGTTTACAATTCAAACTACAAATCTTGCTTATTTAAATTCTCTGTACTACAACTTATATCTATATTATCAGAACTAAAGTTAGCAATAGATAAGGTCTATTAGAAAATTATTAATAGAGTTAATAAAGTAAATAAAATAGTATTTATTAGCTCTATTAGTTTTATTGAACTAACTAATTATATTTATATTATTATAGTAATTGTATTCTAATTTATATAATCATTAATAACTTTTGATCTACTGATTTGTTTTTAATAAATTAATTACTAAAATATTCATCTTTATGAGAAAATCTTAGCAAAGTTAAAATTACTAAAATTTAATTACAAGATTTCAAAATCATTTAAATATTATGTAATTTTAATAATAGTTTTAACTTTTATAAAATCATACAAAATTTAAGTAATCTTAAAATTTTGTAATTGAATTTTAATAATTTGACTTAATTAAAATCTTCTTCTAAGATGAATATTTTGGTAGTTAATTTATTCAAAATAGATTAGTAGATCAAAAGTTATTAGCAATCTTATAAATTAAAAATATAAAATATATAATACATATATTATATTTTAAAATATATATAATATTTTATAAGAGTGTGGCAACTTAGTGAAGTAGTGAAGTTGTCACACCCCCAAGCAGCATATTCAGAGTTTGAATCCCACCATTGACAAAATTTGAATATTCTGTTATAGAACAGTTACTGTCTCTCATCGATTGATTGGATTGAGAATCTGTAACCAAGGTCATACCAGATATCTAGAAGGATTATTATCTATATAAAACCAAGGAATTAGAAAGATAGATACCTGATTGGCAAAACCTGAGTAGAGAGGTAGTACAAACTTTTGATGGTACTATATAAAGAATTATCATTAGGAAAACTCAGAAAACTGAATGAAACTGAGGTGTATAGCAAAAGCATCCTACCAACCAAGCCACTAAAGCTAAAAGAAAAGGATTTGCTTAATTGCAGTTATCAGAAGACTGGTAACTTACAGGTAAAAGTCTCTTCTGGGCTATCTGAATTGGTAGTTTAGACTAGCCGGGTCAAATTAGAAAAACTAAATAGATGAAGTATTTGAGAAAACATTTTCACCAACCAGGCTATCAGAATCAGAGAAAAGGATCTGCTTAATTTGCAGTTACCAAAGGACCAGTAACTTTTAGATGAAAGTTTCTCTAAGTTATTTAGATTGGTAGTTTGAAATTTGATGAGTACTTCTAATAGTCTGTAAATTAGATACTGGGGTTTGAGTAAACTTTACAAGAGCAGGAAGTAGATAATAGTAGTAGCTTTGGCTCGCAAGTACTTGTCCTCAGACTTGGTGTAAGTTACTGAAGTCTAGATTAGCCAGATTGTGAATACAGAAAGCTTTAGCAGGTTTATCTTAAAGATAAAGGGTTTTCTAAAATGGTTGAAGCCTGCTTTAAAATCCTAAGCCAGGTGTCTAAAAATAAGGAGTCCGTACTGGATTCTCACTTGGTTATAAAGGTTAACCCCATAGATGCAGAGGGTTTAAATAGGTAACACCCTAGTTGGGTTATAGATATAGCATCTAGTGTAGAACTTAATAATAAGCAAACTATTTAAATAGGCAATTAAAAGTTGTACGTGTAGCTAGTATGTACTCTCTAAATATATATACAGTACGGACTATCTTGAAAGGGTGAGCTTATCGTACAGTAAAGTTAATTAATAATTGAATAAAAGTAAACGGCCAAGAGATTATCTTAAAAAATATATATATATATATATATAATATTTTATTAGACTCTATTGGCTTCATTAACAAATTATTCTTAATAGAGCAATAGAGCGATATTAAAAAAATCTATTCTATTAGGCTTAATAAATAAATATACCAACTCTGACTAGAACATCTTTCAGTATGTTAGTCAGTTAAGAAAGTTTTGAATTCTTTATATATTCTTTTAGAATTACTAATATAATTAACTAAATTATCTTTGAAATATTGTTTGTTAAAGCTATTTGTTATTTACTTTTAATATATAATCCAGTCTTGTTTAGATAAATATTACTAAATAGGTTCTATACATTTATAGACAAGCTATACTGCTAATATTTTTGCTAAAAATAGATTATACTATAAGTCTATAATTAAATAACTACTAATTATATAGTTATATGACCAATTGTTATATTTTTTTAAATCATTTTAGATTATATATTTTTATCTAATCAAATTATATAATTTTTTAAAATAAAAGGTTTTATATAATCAAAATAATATATACAAATATATTATTTAATTAATATATTATTATCAAAAAAAACAAAATACAACTCTTCTTGATAATCACTTGAACCAACTGTTTCCACCCAACTCAAGTTGAAAAACTCAAAGCTTGACATTTAAAACTATTCTATTTTTTTCTTTGAGTTGCTGTCGACGAAGTCTCTACTATGATATATTAAGAAGCAAGTAGTAGAAAAACAATTTGTAGCCTGGGTTAAGCTTATTCTTTAATAGACTTCTCTCTATATTTGGTATCCAAGCTAGAAGGGTTATTTTAGTAGCTATTAAACAAAAAAAAATTAGGATAGTTAAGGAAAGAAAGACAAGAGAAAACAACTGAAAAAGCACTTCTTATAGCTGATATCTCACAAAACCTTGGTCTTTTTTTCTTACTCACTAATACTTTGGTGAAATTTTTGTCAGAGGCACTGATTTACTATGACTGAAAGATCATTATTGCTTATTTTTCAAAATAGAATATGGCTGTATTGTGATATGCAGAAGGTTTAAAAGGACCATAATACAGAATAGCCTGTTTTTAAAAATAATATACTTGCAGTTTTTTGAAGATAATAGAGTTGTTATAACAAGTAGTTTTAGAGATATATTATAGAAGTTGCCAGATATATAATTTTTATATTTTCGTATAGGTTGTA